TCGCTGCTCTTGGTCTGGCTGCTCCCCTTTGGCCTTCCTGGCATGGTTGCACCTTGTGGAACGAAGTTCCAGCCAGTGTAGCCCGCAGGATCGTTGCAGCACTGAAGCCCGACCACCACGTCAAGGTGGCAGCTTTAGGTCGGGTTAAAGGTATGTTTTGTGTACAGTTAACCTATACTCCAAACATGGCCTCTGCTACTTAGCGAGAGTGAAAGTTACGTGTACCCACTTGATGAGCGGTGATTGGCACGCAAATGCTATCAACATGAATCAATGCGAGGGTGAATTTTAGCATAAGTATTTCGTCGTCCAGCTAGCGACCACAGCAGTTACCTCGCCCGTCGAGTGGACGCTCGTACGTACATGGAAGCCAACTACAGCAAGTTATTTCGTTCAGCGAAACCAACATTTCCCGAAAGAAAACGCGAACTGAGCCGTATAAACATATCTTCTTGCCCAGATAGCCTTCGGCTGCCGTACAAAGGAGCACTACTTAGGAACGTTTTGAAAACAGGCTTTTCCCAGATAACAGCGCACTTCTACCATAGGAATATGTTACTGAAATTCCGGTCTGACTGGTTTAGGACAATCTGACCGACTTCAGCGTGCTCTAGAATATCCCGGACCAACCATTCGTCCACCGATGGGTAACTTGTGTAAAAATGATCGACGAACTGGTCGACTCTACAGGACTGGAGGACGAAGAGGACGAAGAAATCACAGCTAACCCAGCCGAAGTATACATTAAGGGAGTTCTGAAGTCTTCACTTGTTCATTTCATGAATGCGCCGAATGCAACTCTAAGTGCTTTTTTGATTTCTCAACAGGCATGTTCCAAGCATTAAGGTAAAACAGGGTGGCTGGGATGCTGAGTGAACTAATACGGCACATAGGATCTGCACTAAACTTGAATGAACCAAATTTACGGTTTCTAATAGAATGAATCGAATAGGAGCACTAGCAACGACAGTTTCAATAATTCCCCGCCAACATGATGTTAGACGCAGAAGTCAAGGCAGGAACTAGGAGGACAGAAGTTCATCAAAGATACCTATAGTTGAACGAAATATTGCGCATCGTGAATGCATTGTAATCGAATTATGCAAATTCTGTCATTGGAAAAAAGTAGGATAAACGGGGGAAAATCGGGGCTCAAGACCTTAAGTACTGGCCCACAGCTGTTTTTTCGGCTAACTTAATCAGATACATACGTAGTTTGTGCGATCTAGAACAGGCACAAATTGAAGTATTCTCTTTAAGCATGAAATAGTCTGACAAACGAAAAAAGATTCATCAACTAAGGTTTGAAACTCAGTTTTATGAGCGTATGGCTCAATCCCAGGATTTGTGGCCGACTGCAAATGTGTGACTAGAACGGTTTAGGCCTATTCAATGGACATAGCAATCACAAGGACATGCTGTCCGGACGCTTGATGATAACACGGCCTTAGTGGTGCACAAACCCACGGCGCTGTGGGGCAATGCGAATGAACAGAACTGACTATATTCACAAGCTGAGGAACAATTTCGGTGAAGTAAAATTTCCGCTTTCCAGATGCCAGAGGCAAAGCTGACACGATAGAATGGCAACTGAAAAACACACAAAACTAGAAATGTCACTTCGAGTACACAGTTTGATACAACAGTGTTCCGAGATTATATGACCCATCCAAGTTTCGTAAATCTGCTCATCCACTGCGTCCCATGGCAGGTATCCCCCTATCACTCAATGACACAAAGGATAACTGAACTCCTATGACCTAAGTACACAGAATTAGCCAGATATAATCTAAATGACGCGTTTCGGTTTGCTGAACTTATCAGAAATCTAAACGTTCCAGCTCAATTGATGGGGCTTCCTTACTCAAAAAGACACTTCTAGTTGAGGCCAGTAGCTGACTCTACATGCATAGAGTTGAACGGAATCGCGATTTTCTGTCTCAAATTACATATCTTACCGACAGATTGACTGCCACTTGGCCGTTTACTGGCAGTCGTGCTCATGGCCACGCCAAAACGGTACCAACAGTGTCAGTGTCTTCTTTACCGCCACTGAATCGATGACGAGATTGGTCAGGTACCTGAAGCATTCAACACCGGCCACCCGGCATCTAGTTTATTCATGAATTAGAACAAGCGACTACTATACTATTTGTGGATGTTTTGCTGGTACCCCACGACAACCGGCGTACCATCCTGGACTATGTATCCTAAACCCAGATGGATGGGTCACTATCTCCAATTTTAGCTACCGTCCGAATTTTACCAGCTGTTTGACAGTACACTTACAAACTTAGTCGTTCCATCGAGTGCTTATGTTCAGTAGTTGATTCCATTAAGGATGTGCCATGCGAAAGTGGTTTCTCTGTTAAGTTTCTGGAAAAGTAGTACTATTGAATCCACAGATTGTTGTTGTTAAAATGAGGAATTGTTTTTTCTACCACCTGTAATGAGTGACATCCTGTGAGATATCTACACACCGCTTATCTAGTAACGTTCACAGCGTACTTGATGTGGCAAATATTTCAGCGCTTTAAAGACAAGCTCCCACTCGTTACTGCAACTATGTGCATTCTCCGACTCCGGGATTCGCCACATGACGAGACGATCAACAATGAGGGTAAAAGAACATCAACGGTCGTGGTGGTTAAAAGTAGAGGGAAGACCTTCAAAAACACCGTTTTGAACATTCGATCACCTAAATTCATTGCACCAAATTTGGATCGATTTCCCGGGTTCTATACCAAGTATCTCAGTACAAATTCACGGGAATCAACCGAAGGATATTAAGCACATCCATTTGCCTTACAATCCTAACCTGTGTAGGCCAAAGAAGTTCGTTACCCTGTTTCAACCATGATCAAGAGTTTGCGCGAATTTCCGGCCCAAAGGCCATACTGATAAATTGGCGACGACATATTAAATGATGCATATTAATGTTAGCATGCCCATATATCAATTACGTCTACTAATGTTTCACCTGATACATAATTGAGTAGTTCGTAGAGTTCATCAAGATTATTGATGTGAGCATGAATCCGTCGCATAGACGGTGCTGAATTGACTAGGTTTACAGCGTAGGTTTCCCATATAACCTAGGAGTGCGAATAGTTGTGTGATGCAAGGAATTTGTCACAGTCAGTATGGGTCACAGATGTGAGCCCGTGTCGTATTTCTGGTGGTCTATATAAGCGAAGTGTGGAAGAGCCTTAGACTAAGGCTCCTGTAGTCAACATGATGCAAGTATGTCTGTTTTTGGTTGCTGCGAGCGATGTGCTGTGCACAGCGCCAGTTTGCTATCCCCCACGTATCTTGTGGACCTTCATTTCATCAGGAGTTGTCTTATTGGTTCAGGATAACTTTCCCGATACTCCTAGCCGGACGTTTTAGAGCTTGCCTCCTCAGGAATGTACTTCCCTTAGAACCCGTCGATCAATAAACTCTGGTCGTAGGATCTAGACAGGCCAGGCAGCAGGGTTTTACCGATAGTTTTGGAATGTTCTAGGGGATTAAGTGAAGCAGCCGTTAGTGATTATTTCGTAAGATAGATTTTCGAATTTGAATCCTATTTAATATTGGTAGTTCCAAGTACTTAATGTTCATAATGTGGTTTGATTTTTTAGCATAGATCAAACTCATTTGTAGGATGAAATTTTAACTAATAGTTCTCACAAACTGACCACAAGCAACACGCCTAGGCTTTATCGGTTTTCCAACCACTGCCAAGAACTGACTCATTTTTGTCAATCTTATCAGACATCGTACGATTGATAAACAGACCACCATCGACTAAAACTGGTTATCTTCAGCTACCCTTCGGAAGCGTGAGCAACCCAGAATGCAGTATATGGTGGGTAAATTCGCACTAACGCCACCAATGAAAGACTTTTAGTTTACAAACGCCGGATATCCTAAGGCAAATTTGCAGTCCACGACTCCTCACTGATGCCGCGTCCTCCACGAACGCGATATCTCTAACAAAGAATCACCTATCCGAAGTTTTTCTAATCTGGAATAAGAATACAGGCAACATCGCGCCATCCCTAGCTATGGTTGATATAGAATTAATAATCTGGTGTCATGTGCTGGGTGCCAATAAATCGATCGATCGCCCGATAACGCTGATTTATCCGATTCGAAACAATGTATGCACGGACATCACTAACCCGACTCAGTTCACTGATCGATCAGCTAAGGGCAAATACCAGCTTCGTCACATGTCTGTTATTCGTCTTTTGTTTGTTGGATATCATGCGCGCAATGTATTCCACTTATGGTAGTGAATTCCTTTTCAGGCAGTTTATTACCTACCGGGACGGGAAGTTTACTGAAAGAATACAACAAGTGTGAAGCGTTGTGTTTGAAGCGGCTGCAGTTTGATGCCCTGCGACCACACGTCCCCAAGTATGAAGGCGAAAAACTGTTGGGAAGTACACGTATCCTTTCCGTTGAAATTTTTCTTGTATCTCCTCACAATACTTGTTATCTCGCTGTAGAATGTGTATCATCTTTTTTGATTGTAATTACTCCCTTCTCTATTCTTCCTACCCAAATTATTACTGAGACATAGATTAGTATATCGGACCTGTACCCCGTGTTCGGTCAGTTAAGATCTCATCTGCTTTCAGGATCGACTGATCTTGACAGTTCTATATATGTTTCGGCCTTTATCCGGGTAACTGTGTTTGCATGCTATCGGGATTTTCACTCCAGGTGCATGTTGAAACAGTTCTACTTGAATGGACGAACTCAGAGACAATACTACAGCGAGCAATTCGGCTAACAGCGAATTCACAGACTTTCCAGCTGGTTGTCTTTTCATTTGCACTGCTTAAACAGCGACGCCAGAGCAGCCAATACGGCTATCCAAAAATGTATGTCTCATCAGTGGTCCCTACCGTCGTGCACAATTTCGTGCGCTATCCTTGGTGAATGGCCACCGCCCACAAGAGAGCCGCAGTACCTTAAAGGGTTATTGTGCATTAAATGAGGTATGGCGTTTGTAGGGTGGATACCAGCTTATCAAGCTAAATTTACGCGATACCTGCCAAATGTTACGAAATTGAAGAATAATTATGGTGACCGCACTGCAAAAAACTTCCATCAAGTTCGATATTGGAGTCGTAATAGGCAGATTGAGAGCAGGGTTCACACATCATCATCGCCTGAGACAGCAACATAAGTGTTGGCATTGATGCTTTACTGCCCTACAACTATGCAGTTTTTTTGGTTACATTTGAAATTTTGGAGTCAAAAAGAAAAGGAAAAGAGTGGGTGAGGGAGGGGACATAGATCAGGCATTCTGAGGTAACTACACCTCCGACCGCTCAATCATACAATCTGGAAACTGACAATAAGAGTGCCACTGGCATCCATCAGCCGCCGTTTCTTGCAATGTATCCAGCCAAGCACAGGTGGAGTCACAGAGATCCCACCCTGGAAGGTGTACTGTGCCAACAGCAGTCAAACTCCTCGTAATCTCTTTCACGCCCTTCTGTCACTTCATATGTTGTCCACTCGTGGTTTGTGCCATTCTGAAGGATGCACGGTGAACAGCACTTGTCTCGGTGGACGGTGTTTCAGCATGTGTAGCACATGGTTGAGCCATCGTAGTCGATGGTTCTGGATGTTTTCCGCGTTTGAAGTGCCTGCTGCACAACTCAATAGCCATTTTCCAATCCCCTTGTGACTAATCCGTTGACACCATCCCAAACCAGCAACGCTTCAGAGGCATCGGTGTTAAAATCCTGAAGGCGCCTCACATCATCTATCCGCAGAGGCTACGTCTCGCAACCATACAACACAGACTTAAGACCCAGTAATATGCTTTTTTGACGCCACAGGTGACACAACTTAGCAAACCTGATTCGAGCCTTTGAGATTCTTGCACTGACTTCATCAGACCCATTTCCGTCAGAGCTGATACAACTACCAAGGTATGCAAACTTCCACACAACCCCCCAGTGATTCTGCTTGAGTTGTAACGGGGAAGGTTCAGAGACTGTACGTTCTGAAGCATGAGTTTGCACTTTGAGGGTGCAAGGCGCATTACGGAAGATTGTATGTCGATGGTCAGCCGATTTCAAAGGGCTTGTGTCTCTCATTGGTCTTCGAAGATGAGTGGTGTCATCCGTGTACTCCAGATCGACAAGGTTTTCATCAACAACCCCGTGGTTTTACAGACCTTCCACCGTTCATCTTAATGCTTCACCATTGGCGCATTCGAATTCGAATGGAGAGAATGGACATCCTTGTCGGACACTACTTTTTGTAGCGAAGCCTTTGGATAGCGCCGCAGTGGATTATGTTCAAAAACTTCCGGGGCGTACTCTGTTGAGCATATGTAGTTAACAGTACTGGCTGATCGAGAGAATCGAACACAATATAATAGCACTGACTACTCAAGAAGCTGAACACTAGAATGCTTACTTTAAAATAAAGAAGCCCGATGCCAGTCAACTTCCCTAGATTATCGCGGTTTGTTTACACTCACCCAAAATCTTTCATCAAAGGGTCCATTGCAATGAGCAAAAATTCGTGATAGTGCCATAACCACTTTCTGGATGGTGTACACAAGGATTCGGACCGACATCGTGATAAGCGTATCAAGCGTGCTAACTGGTCACATAACTACTGGAATAAACACGTTAGTCGACCACACCGCCCCTATTCTCTAACTTTTCTCTTGCCTCGTTGCAAACCCTAATCTTGTTATCCCTCCTTTGAGAGACACAGCTAAGACACACTAAGATATATTAGGCCGCCATGATGGTGCACATCGGCTTTCCTGAACCTGCTATATGTATCGACTCGATAGGTTACGTGCAGATGCAAGATCTATTATTTGGCGTCCAGTCGCCGTGCATCATGGACTGCAAGATGGGTACGCGAACATTTTTGGAGGACGAAGTCAATGATGCGGTCACCAAAAGAGATTGTCTCAGGCCGGTATGTCTCCAACGTTTTATCCATATTCTTTGCTTTTCTGTTTACAACCGAGGTCTACTTAAAACTGGCTGACAGCATCGGATACGGTGATTGATACTATCACGAGAGTCAAAATGCATCATCATTGATTTTCAAATAGTTTCCTCTTAACAGTGAATTGCATGAGTACTCTGGTGTCAGCACCGACAAACAAACTGAGTATTAGGGACTGCAAGATCGACTGTATTTCGCATCACTAACTAGGGCTAACCCGACGCAAAACGCTTTGCTGGCTGGTTCGCCGTACCAGTGATTATCATTTTGTGGAGTGACTTTGTGGACAGCACAAACCAACACTGTTTAAGGCAATTGGTTGTGGGTTTGGTCATGCATATAGCAGACTTCTTACCCTTCAACGAGGCATCATTACCTTAAGCTACCAGTGTTCCGCCGACAGCTTGAATTAGGTTTCCACATTATCGTTTCAGGTCGTACCTTACTCTAAATCAATGAGTTTTCAGAGCGTATTCTGACTCGCCTAAATAAATAGCACACACACGTGGCTGTGAGGTGGCAGTTGACCTGTTCGTCGAAATTGGCAATCGGTTTACAGTTTCTTCGCCATAGTAGATTACCTGGCCGGTGCGTGACTGGGTGATCGTATTTCTTCGTATGGCGTGCTCGGCGAGCAGATCAATTGCCACCTGATCAAAAGCCAGTTAACGCACCCGAACTACCAGTGTAACGCTGTTGAAGCATGTGAATAGTCTATGGTTTGGTGTCCAAGCTCCGCCCCACATCTGGTGGAAGTTGAAGTTTACTGCGGAAATTGTGGAACTGTTTTACAGTGTTGTGTACTGCTCAGTAGCAAGGGAGTTCAAGGGGACACGTGAGAATGCTCAGCTTTTCTAAAAACTACATGCATATGAAATGTTCACTTTCCTGTCTAGTGACTTGTGACTGATTGGTAAGTGCTTGCTAATCGATGACTTCGCAGCGAAGAGCTTTCCTCCCTCCACCAATATTTCAACACTGCTGAATCACGTGAATGTTTGACGCATTTTGATAAAACGACAAGCTGTATATGTACTTTACGTTTAGTGAAAAATGCCTTGGTGGCCCTGATGGGCAAATGCAGACATCTTTCTTTCAAGTCAGGAGGCCAACGCTCATTGTATTGGTGCCAAGTAATGCGCACATTTCTTTACATCATGGTTGTCTCCATTCCAACTTACTTCCATAGGAAGCTCGAGGCTCATAGCATGATCATTTCTACTGGTTGTGGCACTTCTGATGAGACGATCAGTGAATTAGGACACTACAGTGTTTATTACATCTGATCCATCGAAATGGCGATCTGCTTCGGTGTTTTTTTCCATACCTAGCCTGTGTTCCCTTCGCAGACACCTTATTGTTTGGTGTTCTTCCAGGTTACCTCAGTGTGGACAGTGGCAGCCTTGAATACGGTGACGGTTTGAGTATCTCTCGGTCAGACTTTCGTACTTCCTGTGTTTTTGTACTCTTCGGAGCCCATTAAACGATGCAATGCCGATCACAGTTGACGGCTGAGATCCGAAGCAGTAGACGAGCTTGAACAAGGATGGCCTCAATAGGTGACCTGGCGAATACTGGATATGACAGTGGATTTAGAAGAGTATTCACTAGTGTTCTTCGTAAACCCACAGGAGATTTTCGTGTATGATAAAGATAGTTTACTTTAGCAACGCTGCTTGTCGTAGATATTGGGGTCAGTTAAACTCAGAAATATCTTATTTTGTTGTAGGATATGTACAAGAAGATGATTGACATTGATCCTGACGCGCCGACTCTGGACGAACACAGGCAGGCGGCTGTGACCAAATTACGGTATATGCAGTGGAGAGAAGCACTGAGCTCAACAGCATCTCTCGGTTTCCGAATTGAAGCTGTCAAGGTAGTACTTTTTTTCTTTCATTCTTATCTTAAGTGGCCATCTGCATGTAATTTAGAAGGATAGTACATCGTTCGGTGATACGGACCTTGGGATCACGATGGCCCCCTCTTCTACTTGGGTCGCTGTTGCCAGTTTTAAGTCACTGATTATGTGAATGTTGGAAAACCAGGCTTTACTAATCGGGCATTTTCCTTCCGCATATCATTATGAATGGTGTATTATTGGGAGGAAATATCTACTGACTGTAGTCGATTTGTCTTTGCTTTTCCGAAGTTGCCAACTGACCCCGCCGTTCAGTTCAGTTTGCTTCTCAAATTCTCACTGATACGTGTACCGTACCTTGTATGCTTCCTTTGAATGTCGCCAATTTGAGGAAATCGCACGGCTTAGCTAGTTGACTGCATCGGTTTCTGGGCCTTTCATATAGATTTACACAACTGTGAGTTTATAGAATGGACTGTCAAGCTTACTTATGCTGGCCTACGTTGCGGAGTTCATTGGCGATGTACTTTTGATCACAGTAATAACCAGCACAACGTTCATCTGTTCGGTACACACGGCCCTCATTAGTTGAGATAAGGGCTTTTGCACTCCTAGTCACAAGTTCTCATTCCCGTGCTCCACAGATGGAGGTGAAGCGATATAGAACGGACGAGTTGAAGCGAACTGAGAGTGTCATCTAGGCACGAAACGATGAGTGGGCTGATTTCGGCTAATGCCTTCAGCTTGGCAGCCGGAAGCACTTTGTTGACAGCGGGTGAAGGCTTTGGGCTCCAAATGAAGCGGATGAGACCGCGTCAGTGTTTTCGAACAAATGATCAAGACCATCAGCTGTCTCTAAACATGTAGTCACAGACTGACGTAGTCCTCGAGGGCACACGCGCCCTAGCATTGCGCGTATGTAACATTGTGAAACGTAGTGATTAACAAACGGCTGCCTCATTATACATGAGTCGGTGAAACATGTCAGCTTACTATGAACGCAACCACACAAACATACAAACTATTGAATAACAGACACTTAGAATGATTGGACATTTATAGCATCCGACGTTTTTCTTGGTCAAAATTCAGACTCAATAACCGCTCCTGCGACATGAGTTCTCTAGTCTAATCTAGGGACCTGCGTTTGACACATGCATGAATAGACACCACGCTGGACTTCCGAATTCGCGAACTTTGCCGGTCTATTCGGATTACTCTCAAATGGAAAACACCTAATTTACGATTTTGGCTCAGTCCACCAGAATAGACAAAACGTTTGAGCCCCCCACCCAAGGCAGCTTGTTGGCTAGAGTATTGTGTTATCTCCTTGATTATTAGTTTGTCTTCGCTATGTAGAAGGGAGTTCGCTGTGCATATTTTTATACGGACAACGTTATTTTATATTTGGTTCAACCGGTGCCACCCAAAGACACTCGGTTAACTTGTCTCATGGTGCAATGTTCATGATACACTAATCTTCTGGCGGGAAGAACCCGACGCAAAGTGGCCTCTTCTTTAGGACAGTTCCTTCTAGATCGTCTCTTGAGAAACAGACAAACACACCTCCCACTGTGAAGTGAGTAACTTATCCAACTAATCTGTTGACTTACCCGTTTTTCGATATGTTTTGAACATTTTCTCGGTGAGTTATTCACACCACATCATATTCAGTAAAATAATGAAGTGATGACTTTGTCCTACTGGTTTACTATCTAATCTATATCCGCACGTTCCACACTGCATACTGTCTGCCCGCCTTACCTAACTGGTTGTAGGATTTCACTTCTGTCTACCGTGCACATGAATCCACACATTAAATGGTGAGCGCAATACCATGTTGCAAACTATATTCTGTTTCCAGAAGTCTGAATTCCCCACACAGCGAGATTTCAAACTAACTCAATCTCGCGAACAGGTGAAGAACATCCTCAGGGATTTCGTCCAGTCGGATCAACATATCTGCGTGAGTTCGCTTGTTCGCAATATCGATTTTACGGCCAGTATTCTTCGATGGGTACTTCTGTGAGAATTGCGTACCGCACCTACAAGTTTGGTGTGATGTTCAGGCACAGAATATCAATCTGGTTGGGTATGAAGTGTAGCTCCTGACAGCCGTTACACTTCAGCACAACTAAAATGACCTTACTAGGTCGGTATTCTTTTCAATTTATCATGCGGCTGACCACCGCGATCTTCACATATTTGTTACTTCTATGCGTTTGCACCAACCTGAGGTTTTGGTAATGCACAAACATGCCGACATGTTTGTGTTAACCGTAACTGAATTCAGGTGAAGTTGCACATACCAACTTTATATTATTTGTAGAGTTCACTGATGAAATTGTCCAGGCCTGTGATTAATTGCTCGATTGGTACCAAGTTGACACTACGCACCAAAATCCGAATTTCGTATGCCCACTGTAATTTGGCTCAGACACTTGATTCTTTTCTAATTAGACTTTATGAGGCCCAACGTAAACGTCCATAGGATCGTGCTACTGAACCTTTCACTCAATAGACAATCTAGATCTCAATGACTTGAATCTGTGGCATATGTTTATTTATTTCCTCTTAGTCTCAGGTATAGCGCCCGACTACCATGCCGCCCCGAATGAAGCACGAAGGTCGAGATACTCCCAGGTTGCCCACACCTACACAGGGGCAGTCAAAGTGCTGAGGTTGGGTTCCACCGACCTAGCACGAAGGTCGAGATACTCCCAGGTTGCCCACACCTACACAGGGGCAGTCAAAGTGCTGAGGTTGGGTTCGAACCACCGACCTTCCAGTCTGTAAGCTCGCACCCTAACCACCGAACTATCTCGAACTCTGTATCCTCACCTTGATATCACCAGACAGGGGACGTAACTTGATTCATATATCTTTGGGATATGAAAGCAAATTTTTCTTGCTGCTTCAGTCATCCTCCAGAGAGGATAGGTGCGGTCTGCTGATGATAGCTGTTCATGGATGGAGGCGATTCTCAACAAGGCAGGACCAGATTTGTCTTTTAAGCAAAGTTCATCGCTGTAACACCCTTTCCCCTGCCTAGTTGCCATGCCACCCGAAGGAAAGATGAGCGGTGGGATACTGCCAGGTTGCCCAAGCCTAGACAGTGGAAGTTGAGAGTCGAACCACAGACCTTCCGGTCAGTAAATTCGTGCTCTCACCACTGAACCATCTCGCCCCAAGAGAAATGTCTGGAAGCAACTGCTAGAGTCCATCATCTATCGCCCCGAAAATTGCATGAAGCTCGAGACACCCTCGTGCTCACTTGTTTAGCGACTGGTGGATGATTGATGTTGGGTTATCCGTTCCTCCACATACATTTAGAGAAACAAGTTTAGTACCGTTAACTCTATCCCAGTTCGATGGCAGCCTGAGCTCTGGACTTATTCGTGCACCCAGCACTCCCGTATTGATGATTTCTGAACGCCCCCTCAAGGTGTTTGAGGTGTTTTATAACATATCCATTTTGCGTTGGGATTTCATTATCCACACTTGGGCCTCCTGCTCATTCTGCGTAACAGATGCATCAATTGCCTAATGTATCTCTCTCCATTCTTTTCAGGAGCTATACCACCGACGTCTAACTCTCCTTAAGTCGTCCTTGGAAGCCTCCAGGTTTTTCGCGGAACATGAGGTAGGTATGCTAGCAACGAATGAGGGTTTACTTTCGATCGGGTAGGGAGCCTCCAATAACCGGTACCTTTTCGGTGAAGGTTGGTCTTATCGAGTTCTTCAAAGTGTCTCAGGGACTTGGAGGGATCAGCGAATTATTTTCACTAGCCAGTTCGAGATTTTGTAACATACCCAAATATTTGAACACAGTTTAGTTCCAAAGCTACTGAAGGTTGGCTAACTTGATACGGGTAATGTAAAAATAAATGCTTGATCATTATGTTTACTCTGTAAGACGTGTTTGTTCTTTGGCTTGGCCTTATTTGTTTCTGGACTAGCTGCGACTTGCCCACAATCCACTCTCCCTGCCTCCGTTGAGGAGATCATCCATAGCCAACTTCACTTTGTAAATACCTTAGTTTCAGTTCGGCCGAAGGTATCATGATGATGTCTGGATCAACCTGCACTGCCGAAACCATGAGTGACTGTTCGTTCTGCGTTGCGCACATGTAGTGCCGGCGCCAACAAGACAAACTTCTTTGGGTGTCTATTTTTGTATGCACTTGTGCTCTTGATGCTCTGGTGAATATTATCTGAATGCCCGTTTGTTTACGCTGTTTCGTACATCTGTTGTTTGTATATATGGGTGATTTCAACTTCTTGCCCACTTCTAGCCTACTAAAGAAGGTGATAAACAATCAGTGTGAAATCCAGGTGAATAAGTGTGATCTGTTGCAGCGTCCGCAACAGCTTGGTCGTTCCCATCATGCTTAGGAGGCAAAAGCTAAATCTGCTTCGGTGAGCCCGTTGAGTATCCAATTACATTTGTTTCCTTATTGACAATAAACTGTAGGCCAACCCTAGCATAATTGTGCTACTTGGTAATTGATCAGGTGGCTGTTGATCTGTTCGCCGAGCTTGGTGCTTGATTTGCAAACGTTTCGTCACCATTCGAGGAGACATCTCCAGTGCGCTGTAGTTTGTGTAGTCCCTCTCTTCATCGTCATCATCGACAACATTACATCAGTGTTCAACACCGATGCTTCACTGCCGTCCCTCTCTTTGGCCTGCGTTCATATAGTTTACAAAGAGCAGCCTGTGCGCTGTAACCTGATTAGCCATTGACAATCATCACACTTGGATCTGGTTGGTCCGACCATACTCTGTACTGCGTTGTGGTTCGTATTTCTCGCTTTCTGCGGCCACTCTTGCTGTCGAAATTGCCGTCCATTACTGCGCCTTCCGGTTGGTCCGTTCGTGATCTGTTGTTGCGTCTCTGTTGTTGGATTGTTTGGTAGTATACGTCCTATTTTCAGTAGTTTTGTATTTTTGTTGATTTCTCTGAATCCTTGTTCGGCTCCCGGTTTTATGGTTCTGGATTTCCTCTGTCCTCCAGGGTTGATAGACAGGGTCGATCTCAATGAGTCTGCTTATTGCCCTATCAATAGAGTACCACGCCTCTATGAACTTGCGTTCTTTGTTCTCGCCTGGCCCAGTATGCTGACGTTATTCCAGTCGAATTCGTGTCCTACTCCATCTTCGTGTGCAGAGATGAGCGAGAGTTGGTCATGTACCCTAGTAGCGAGCTTGTGTTCGTTGACTCTAGTTGACAGTCTCCTCCATGTCTATCCTTTTTCCTTTTTTCCACAATCCTCGCATTGAATTTTGTGGATTACATTTGTCTTCCCGATCGCATTAAGTATCCCCTTTGGTTTTGATAGTGCTCCTCGCAGCGCGTCAGTCGATCTGTAGGCAACTTTCATGGCATGTCATAATATCCTCGCGGTCACCTCCGAGATGTTTTTGATGTATGGTAGTGTGACTGTTTTGCTTGTGCTTCCGGTTGTCGAGTTGGTTAAATTGCATTTTCTCAGAGATCTCCAGAGGAAATTCCTTGGGTAACCTTCCTATTGAAGGATTTTGTATTAGCGTTTCTCTTCCTTTACCTTGGATTCCACTGCGTTGCAGTGTTTCAATTAGCTTGAATTGTGTCCGAATGAAGCTCTGTTTGTGACAGTTTGGATGGTTGCTGTGGTAGTTCAGAATTTGATGTGAGCAGTGAGCTGACATCAAAGGAGACCATTGTTTCGTCCTCTTCTATTGTCAGGTCCCTTAGTTTATCCAAAAATTGTTGGGTGTTTCTGATTGAGTGTTGCGATCCATTGATGAGATACTTGACCCTTCACGATGGAGACATTACTTGCCTCTATCGGCCTGTGGATATGGTCAGCACAAACTCAAAATGTGCACCTCTGTTCTGGGGATGGCATCCCCCGATTCCGGATTGTCTTGTCGCATCGAACAAAGTGAATGGAACTTCGCGCGCAACTGATGCTGCCACACTAACTCCATGTACATTCACGTGAACGCCATGTACTCAATGTCAACTGAACAGCTGAGACAGTGCACCACCCGTGACGCGCACTCAAGATAGCGGTGTTGCAAACAAGTCAGTGCAGATCGTATAGCATCCAGGGTAGCGTTAGACAACTATACTGTTAAGTTCACCATATCTGAAGTACTTGCAGCTTTAGGCCATACATTGCAGGAATCGATGTACCTGTACTGGAGTCTGCGCAAATAGGTTTGGTCGAGTCTCAACTGGCTTCACACGTCTTATTTAAAACTGCCTATTGGGGATTCTGTTCATCCTGCTTAATCAGTCGTTTCTGTGGCAACGGCGCAATAGTATATTGTGGTTATATACACGCTCAGAAATTTCCGTCCTATTCGTCCCTCATCCATTATGGCTCTATTTTAAGCATACGTGGCAAAAGGCTACTTGATTAATTCCTTCTGCATCGTTTACTAAAGTTTCGCATGGCCAAGGCCTTTTGTCTTTGTTTTCTTCCAGTTGAGTTCCGAATACTCTCGATCTCTATGGAATCCATCTTGCATTTAATGGGCTATGGACTTCGGCATCGCCTTTTTTTTTCTGCAGTCCTCGCTTTACCGTCATTTACTTCATCATTTGTCAAAATAAATCTTCCTCCACCACATATACCGCCAGGCATAACTGGTCGCTGTGGTTATTGTCAGCTCCTTGCATTTCGCTTGTTCCTGTCGTCCACGCCAGTCCCACGGAATCTTTGAGCAGTCGTTGTTAATGGGCGGTTTTGGATTTGATCGCCAGATGGTTTACAGTTAGAATTGGAGAGCGAAAGAAAAATCACGAAATCCATATAATCGGGACACTAACTGCATTTTGCCTAACCGATCACACTGGGAAGAGGAGAAAATAGACGTCAACAGACTCCTCTCTTTTAGCCTCATAATGATAACGGGCTAACGTTAAGTTTGTCTTCCTATCGTTAAGGTCATGACCATGAATGCAAACAGACAGTGCTAACCCGCCAACGAATAGAAAACACTCAGCAAAGCACTTTTAGTCATGTGTGTTAATACTATAGGAAAAAATTTGAGCGTTATTCTGCAAAAAGAAAGTATGGATGTCACGATTCTGCGCTACCTTACGGGAGGGTCCGAGTGCTAACATTCTATAGCCGGGAGTTTATGCTTACAGACTGTATATTTATTTGCAAGGAAGGTATTCATGCAGCAGTAGAAACCGAGTGAACCGTTCACGACAGAAATACCTTGTTTTCTAGAGAATAAAGAAAACAAGTAATAAAAGTTTATGGCCACTATTTAATGAAGCCAGAGGAAGATACCAGAAACTTCGGGAAAATGCTCCGATGAGAGGCGAGGCCTTACGCATGCATCGCTCCGTTGTATACCTTTTCGGTCGTAAGACGCCGCAGTATTTATTTTTTTACGAAACCTTTTGAGAGATCCCTATAGGAACCTAAAGATGACTGGATTGCAAACCGTTTTTGATTGAGCAGTCATCAGAAAACCTTAGAACTTCATATTCAGCAATGGAAAAGCCATCTTACTTCACTTTGACAATGTACTGTCGTGAAGAAAAGGACAAAAAGAGGAAGGAAAAGAGGCTAGTACTACCTCACCACATATATACGAGGTGACAATCCTTCTAAGCTGACAACAAGAGCTCCACTGACATCTTTTGGCAGACAGATTGCATCCTCTCCATCCAGGCACAGGGATTGCGTGGACTTCACTCTAGAAGTCGGATAATAGTACCCGGGCTTCGCAATCCCATTGCTTCCCTTCAGACTCGTAGTGTTTCGCCCACCTCTTGGTTTGAGCCGGTCTGCAATTGGCGTGTAAAACCACACCGTTCCCGATAGACAGTAACCCCGCATTCGTAAGGCATGGCGGAGTCACGGCAGTTTGTTGTGATGTGTTCATTCCGCAATTAAAACACCCTATCCCAGAACAGTTCTGTCCGTTCCGTGCATCGAAGGTTTTACTCATTACCTCCTCAGTTGAGGAGTTTATTAAAGATGGAGGAAGTTGTCATCCTTGTTGAACTCCATTTCTCTTAAGCTTTTGAAAGGCCCGCAAGTTTATTATAATTACTAACATCCGAGGTATGTTTAAAACAGACCGGTTAACAGAATCAAACGTACTCCTGAAGTCAGAGAACATGAAGATGGTGGAATGTCTGTATGCATGCTGTTCTAACTTTTTTGCTCCTTACTCTCCAGTGCCTANCCATCCGAAGGGAGTACGAGAGGTGGGATGCTGCCTGGTTACCCAAGCCTAGACAGGAGAAGTCGAGATGCAGAGATCGGGTCCGAACCACGGACCTTCCGGTCAGTAAATTCGTGCCCTAATCACTGAGCCTTCTCACCCCGGACGCGGAATCTGGTATAATTCAGATTTCCAGGTAGCCATATACCTTGAGTGCATGGATGATGCGTTCGTAGTTTGGGACTCACTAACCAACCACTTCATCGACTTAGCCTCTTCAATTATGCATATTCGTCACTGCATTTCACAAGCGAAGTTACCATTCTTGGATGTGATGTTCAAGAGTTATGACTCATTCGCTGAATAGGACGGTGGACTGAAAGGCCACTTCCAAATTTAAGTTCCATTGCGCTGTGGAGGCGTCTAGTGTGCAGTTTGCCTTAGAAACGGAATGAAACCAGATAAGTTTTCAAAGAAATTGATAACCTGGAACTCTTGATCCTAAAATGCCCCATGGAAGGTAACTTATCCGAGATTTCAACACCAATGGGAAATTCCTTATCTGATCCAATTTAGGGAAGCTTTGATTTTCTAACTCAAAACCTTCACCCGCTATCACCAAGACGTTTCCGGTCGTAATCTGTCTACTTGCCTACTCGGCTGAACAACCTGCCTACCAATGATTTCGTGCCTAGAGGACAGTCCCCCAGTTCAGCCAACACATCCGTTCTGTCTCTTCAGATGCACGTCTGGAGCACAGTTTTTAGGACACTACACAGAACTTGTGGAAATAAAATCTCATAGTTTTATCCTCGAGCATCTGGTCAAAATTGGGCACCAAATGGATTGCTCGAGTTCATTTACTCGGCTGCAAACATTATGCCAAGGGAATTTGTGAACGCATTTTTTTCCACACTAGGAGCCATTACAACCTGAATCTCGAAATTTGGGTTTTTCAAGGATAGACAACTAATTCGACTAGTCGCACTGTGTCCTCAGTAAAGAGGACTTATCATAAGTGCTATTTGTCTGGTTTTTGAGACCAGTTTCCTGAGCATCAAATCCATTCGAGTAGATAACGGGTTTTCTTGTTTTGCCTGATGTCTTTAGAATGTAAGACAAAATATAGCTGCTGCAACCACTCTTATTGCCGTGACCCGAGAAGAGAGAGAACATGTCTGATGCTTATTCAAGGTTTCTGCTTGGCTATCTCCGCTGTGGTCTTTTTTGTGATCCTTGTGACTCTTTCGTCATCCGATAGTTTTCGTGATTTCGGTTCATTTCAATTGAGTTTGGCTTTTGTTTTTTGTCAGTAGTGACAGAATCTGCATAACTGACCTCACTCATTGTTTTGAATGGGTACTCATCTTGGCGATTTTTCCAAGATTAATTTTTTCTTAACCTCCGTTTTGCATGACTCGACGGGCATCTCGTGCAGAATGATTAATTACTGATTGGTCCTGTTCATTTGATTTCCTCTATGTTGTAAGTTTATTGTTCTTAACGGGACAAAAAATGAGCGAGCGGGAACTCTGCTTTGTTGTTGTGTTTTGCGTTCTTTTTACTGGTCGTCCCACTTAGCGATTTCCATCTGGTGCCTGTTTCGTGAGTCATTCGGAAAAAATCGATCATTCCCGAGTTTTCGCTCCCTCTGTTTCTTCTGCCTTCCGCACTCCATAACGCACTACTTTGAGTTCCTCAAATTTTTGTCGCGTTATGGAGCAACTGGAAAATGGCGTTAAGTGCTTGCCGCAAATTCTTTGCTTTGATGCACCTGTTGCGCTGTACCAAACGAGTGCAAGCAGAATTTCGCAAGATGGTGGAAAGCCCACTTCAGAACCTAAGTAGGTATGGAGAGATCAGAATAGGCGGTTATGATAAGGCGAGATGACTCAAGTGGTTAGAGCGCGGATTTACTGACCGGATGGTCCGTGGTTCGAACCCGACCTCTGCCTCTCAACTTCTGTCTAGGCCTGGGCAACCTGACAGTATACCAGCCCTCGTGCTTCCTTCGGATGGCATGGCAACTAGGCGCCGAAAGGGCGCCACAGCTGAATGATTATTTATTATTATTATAAGTCTGCTTCATTGAGAAGTCCTCGAGATTCTCAATGATTAGACGAGATTTGTGCATTTACTTGCTTCCAGTGAGCACAGGTTGACGATTGGCATCCTCGAAGGTATTCTAGAACGGTCATCGTCATTATCGACAGCATGACATCACTGTTCAACACCGATGCTTCGCTGCCGTACAACCGTGACTTATTTGAAAGCCTTATGAGGAAGAAAAGAATGAGTGGACGCTTAGCGCTAGCTCCCTACAATCATTCCGAGGTGCCTAGGTGAATTTGTCATTTTTTACTAGTAAAGTTGTCCTTATTAGGGAGTTACGGTCCTGTTAAAGGGCGAAACCTTAATCCCCGCCATGGGAGTAGTCTTATGTTCGCAGGTTTGAAAGTTGCATACTGTCCTGTCTTTCGCACAAGGTGCCAATTTACACATCAGTCACAGTATGGTTGATGGTGGAGGACTAGTCGATGAACTCACCACGTCTTGCAGTAGCACTAAGTAGCACGAATATTTACGAAGATCTAGCCTTTCCACGCCATGAATTTTATACTGCATTTGCAAAATTCTTCAGCCAGTATCCTTATTGGGAGAGTGTTCACAATTAAGCACGGTTGCTCTCTTGGAAAACCATTGTAGTTGGATTCATTGTGTGGATCAGCTGCTTCTAGGGGAATGAGCTTAGATTGTTAAGTCGCTAGCGTAAGTAGTATTTTGACGGAACTTGTAAAGCCGCCGCCCTTTCGGCGCTTCAGCTAGCCGTTTTGATTAGATAAATTGGACCGTATTGACTGGAGCTGTTTGCGACAGTGTGATGAACTGCTTCGCTTGCCTATATCAGGGAATTTCCTATTCATACTGGAAACACATGAGATGAGGAATAAGCCCTTAAGTTCGTTGGAGCTAGAGCAAACATGAGGTGAACGGATGCTATTAATGGACGAAGAGCGTGGAAATATGTCGAGATGATGTCGCTGATCCGTCTTCTGATCAGATGAGGTGCAATTATTTTTGAGGAGATATTGATGCGGATGCTCTATGTTCAAATGAAGTGAATGGAGAGGTGCAATGAACGCAAAGTTCATGGAGAAGAATTCTGAAAATAAACTGATCTATTTCACGCTTTCAAAAGTCAACTCTATTCCTTACAACTTAAACTAAGAGTAAATACGGAAACGCAAAAGCTCTTGTGAGAGAATATTCCTGGATCACCTATATTTTGATTCTACTAGTGGGCTTCTTTTATTTGGAAGACTCCGATGTTTGCCCATCGTCGCAGAATATTAGGAGTGAGCATCCAACTCACGTTGGATGGGTGGGTATAGTGGTATCGATAGTGTCGCGTTAGCTATAAGAGTTGGCGTGATATATGAATCAAGCTTCTGTTTTGCCGTTAGTGGTATCTGGTTGCTCAACAACGGCACTTGTTCTCCTATTCAAACACCGTGAGTTGGTGTACACAAATCTTCCCTTGTTATCGCATCGCACGGCCGCAAAGCGAATGAATTAACTGGTTTATAGTTACAGTGATAAATTCCCAGCTATCAATCTCTACTAAATTTACAGAGGTCAAACCCCTCTCACCTTTATTCCTTTTTGGTGGCTGTGACTACTAGTGCAGGGTTGCTCCATTACTCAAGGCCCTAAGTTTCCATCGACCGGCTACTAATTTCCTATGTTTAGATATGATCAAATGCTACTGATAACTGCTCATGACCAACGTGAAGAGTCATTTCAAGACTAGATGTAAAGTGTTCGGTAAATGGAATGCATACAACCCGTGTCAGGGGGAATTCATGTGGAATTAGGCGCGTGAGGTAAAATGGGTGAGTAAGTAATCAAAGTCCGTCACTGACGACCTCTGCCATACGTAAGCATCTTTTACTTATGCAGAGACGTTTTGTATTGCTAAAACTCAGTGCCATAACTGTCCACAGGCACTCTGAGGTATACTTTACATAGTCTCATCTGTTATTCTTTTCAGTTGATCGGTACCTCCCTGCTGTTCGCTCACCGCGGTCGCGATTGGGCAAATGTGTGGATGATTGACTTTGCGAAGACTGTCCATCATCCTGGTTTAGTACTCAATCATGGGACACAGTGGCTCATGGGGAACCACGAGGATGGCTATCTCCTTGGATTAAACAATCTAATTGATCTTTTTCATACCCTGAGCTGTGAGTTGTCATGAATGGTCAAATCGGGGCCAATGGTTTTCTGTCGTTGGAGCAACAAAACTTTCTTGTTGCCCTCTCTTCGCAATAGTTACCTGACACCCAATCAAAATGCATCGTATTCCCAATTACACAGTCTTTCCGTTTAGTGCTCATCACACACATCTCAGCGAATACTTGGGACTTGTTTGTTTTTGTATCCTATTTTTGTACCGTTCGTTTTTTCTGAAAAAAAACAGTGTTTATATTGATCAACCTTTTGTTTAACCATACTTCACATATATAACAATTTGCTGAGAAATCGACGTGTGTACAGACATCTAGAGCCTTCTTTGTAGCACGTTGAATGAGTTCCGTGCCAGTTCTTTATCATTCCGCACAATTTGAATCTGTATCATGGTAGGTGAGTCTTTCGGCTATTTTCCTGTTGCCCCTTATTGATAATCCAATGAATCACATTGGATTCATACATACTCTGTTTTTGTGAACACATTTGGTCACAATAAACCCAAGCTTTTGTTCTATGGTTCATATGCATATGTCACTACGATGGTTCAAATCATTCGCTGCGTGTTTGTCGTATCATGTGTGTGTGAAAGCCTATCTCCTGCAATTAGCCTGCCTATCTTTGCTGTGTCCTGACAGCGATGATCCTTACATCACCGCTCATTTTCATGTACTTCCTGGCAGGGAGGGATAACACATGTGACCGACGGATTTGCCGTGCCTCCTTTGCACTTTTATCTCTCGCTTAAGCTATCTACTCCAATACAATAATGGTCAATTCTCGGTCTAAAATACCTTCCCAACCAGATTTTCGGTATGAATGAATCGCAGCATATCCACGTCAACTGGTCATTTTCCAGAAAATGAAGGCAGCCGCTTCCTCGGCTATTCACTTCAGCGAGGCAAATATGGCTACCCTGAGGTACGGGGAGACTAAATTTGTAGGGATCAAGCCAGCAGCCAATAAGCTGTGGAAAATATACATCTCGCACTCCATTAATTTTTGGACAATAAGATAGATGTGCCATCATCGTGGTGTTTTACTGCCGTACGGCTATGCCCTTATGATAGGAAGATAAAGAAAAATGGGACACAAATATCCGAGATGCCCACACATCCAACACCCAATCAGACAATCTGGATAGAAACTGACTTCGGTTAGCCGCCATATCCTCAGTGTCTCAAACCGAGCACAGGGAGAGTTGCTTAGATTCACTCTTGGAGGGTGAACAGAAGCAGACTTTTAGCAATATCTTTCATTTTCATAGGCTTTCGACCGTCTGAATCAGGTATGAAAAACAATGCCTTCTCAGCAGACAGGGACTCGGCACATGACATAGCCACCCCAACCTGTTTGTTTGACTGCATTCCATGGGTAGTGTAGTCTTTATTCCTCATGTATCCGTTTCCTGATCACCTCATTGTGAATCCTCTGCTTCCAGTTTATTCTAGCTATAATTCTGGGATGTTGGTAGTCAGTGGCCTGACAGTACCTCAGATGCTCAATCAGTAGTAGCGAAATTTCGCACCTGTGCAACTATACAGCCTGCATTGTAGTCCGACACACGCGTCCTCCGAGTCCTCGTGCTACGTTAGATTTCCGAATTACGAAACAGCATTGCAGCAATCCAAACGGAAACTGTGAAACGAATCGCCTTCACTGCGTAGAGACCGAGAAGATACTTCCTAACAGCATGAATACCGAAGTACCTTCTCTGTAGGAGGGCTGATTTGTCTGGTCGACGAAGCTCTTGACAGCTAACTTAACAGGCCGTTTAACCGGTTGGTATTCAAACACTAGACCAAGAAGCTAGGTTGCTAAACGTTATATCTTATCTCTTCAGCGTCAATGCTGTCGAGAGTGTCAATAGGGATACACAAAGGGGCGCAGCCAATTCCCAGTTGTGCTGTAAGCGGATCAAGAGTAAGCCTTTGAAATCAAAGCAAAGTGATTTTTACGCAAGAGTCAGCTGCTTTTGCAGGCCGTACATCTGTTGGAGGTCGTTCAAAATAAGGTAGTTATCGTCCGTCACGAAGAAACTGAACCTTACCGTGGTGTGACGGTTTGTGTACCCCATTAATAAATCTCTCCTCGCAGGCCTAGCACCTAGGAGTTCGTTCTGTAACGGTTTTGCAAACAACATCTACGCGTCATCCGGCGCCGACATCCTCTAGCATCACGAAATCTTGAAGCCTCAACGCCCAGTTTATATGGCCGCTTTAAATGTCCGCCCTCTGAAGCAAGCTGGTCAACAAGCTTGACATTGATGTGCGCTATGTCTCAAACATCAAAATGCATCGTATTCCCAATTACACAGTCTTTCCGTTTAGTGCTCATCACACACATCTCAGCGAATACTTGGGACTTGTTTGTTTTTGTATCCTATTTTTGTACCGTTCGTTTTTTCTGAAAAAAAACAGTGTTTATATTGATCAACTTTTTGTTTAACCATACTTCACATATTCAACAATTTGCTGAGAAATCGACGTGTGTACAGACATCTAGAGCCTTCTTTGTAGCACGTTGAATGAGTTCCGTGCCAGTTCTTTATCATTCCGCACAATTTGAATCTGTATCATGGTAGGTGAGTCTTTCGGCTATTTTCCTGTTGCCCCTTATTGATAATCCAATGAATCACATTGGATTCATACATACTCTGTTTTTGTGAACACATTTGGTCACAATAAACCCAAGCTTTTGTTCTATGGTTCATATGCATATGTCACTACGATGGTTCAAATCATTCGCTGCGTGTTTGTCGTATCATGTGTGTGTGAAAGCCTATCTCCTGCAATTAGCCTGCCTATCTTTGCTGTGTCCTGACAGCGATGATCCTTACATCACCGCTCATTTTCATGTACTTCCTGGCAGGGAGGGATAACACATGTGACCGACGGATTTGCCGTGCCTCCTTTGCACTTTTATCTCTCGCTTAAGCTATCTACTCCAATACAATAATGGTCAATTCTCGGTCTAAAATACCTTCCCAACCAGATTTTCGGTATGAATGAATCGCAGCATATCCACGTCAACTGGTCATTTTCCAGAAAATGAAGGCAGCCGCTTCCTCGGCTATTCACTTCAGCGAGGCAAATATGGCTACCCTGAGGTACGGGGAGACTAAATTTGTAGGGATCAAGCCAGCAGCCAATAAGCTGTGGAAAATATACATCTCGCACTCCATTAATTTTTGGACAATAAGATAGATGTGCCATCATCGTGGTGTTTTACTGCCGTACGGCTATGCCCTTATGATAGGAAGATAAAGAAAAATGGGACACAAATATCCGAGATGCCCACACATCCAACACCCAATCAGACAATCTGGATAGAAACTGACTTCGGTTAGCCGCCATATCCTCAGTGTCTCAAACCGAGCACAGGGAGAGTTGCTTAGATTCACTCTTGGAGGGTGAACAGAAGCAGACTTTTAGCAATATCTTTCATTTTCATAGGCTTTCGACCGTCTGAATCAGGTATGAAAAACAATGCCTTCTCAGCAGACAGGGACTCGGCACATGACATAGCCACCCCAACCTGTTTGTTTGACTGGATTCCATGGGTAGTGTAGTCTTTATTCCTCATGTATCCGTTTCCTGATCACCTCATTGTGAATCCTCTGCTTCCAGTTTATTCTAGCTATAATTCTGGGATGTTGGTAGTCAGTGGCCTGACAGTACCTCAGATGCTCAATCAGTAGTAGCGAAATTTCGCACCTGTGCAACTATACAGCCTGCATTGTAGTCCGACACACGCGTCCTCCGAGTCCTCGTGCTACGTTAGATTTCCGAATTACGAAACAGCATTGCAGCAATCCAAACGGAAACTGTGAAACGAATCGCCTTCACTGCGTAGAGACGAAGAAGATACTTCCTAACAGCATGAATACCGAAGTACCTTCTCTGTAGGAGGGCTGATTTGTCTGGTCGACGAAGCTCTTGCAGCTAACTTTAACAGGCCGTTTAACCGGTTGGTATTCAAACACTAGACCAAGAAGCTAGGTTGCTAAACGTTATATCTTATCTCTTCAGCGTCAATGCTGTCGAGAGTGTCAATAGGGATACACAAAGGGGCGCAGCCAATTCCCAGTTGTGCTGTAAGCGGATCAAGAGTAAGCCTTTGAAATCAAAGCAAAGTGATTTTTACGCAAGAGTCAGCTGCTTTTGCAGGCCGTACATCTGTTGGAGGTCGTTCAAAATAAGGTAGTTATCGTCCGTCACGAAGAAACTGAACCTTACCGTGGTGTGACGGTTTGTGTACCCCATTAATAAATCTCTCCTCGCAGACCTAGCATCTAGGAGTTCGTTCTGTAACGGTTTTGCAAACAACATCTACGCGTCATCCGGCGCCGACATCCTCTAGCATCACGAAATCTTGAAGCCCCAACGCCCAGTTTATATGGCCGCTTTAAATGTCCGCCCTCTGAAGCAAGCTGGTCAACAAGCTTGACATTGATGTGCGCTATGTCTCAAACAAGAATTCAAGATGCAATCATAGTGACTGAGCTAACCGACCCATCACTCTCCATTTGTTTCCGGCTGTGCACCTTTGGCGATCTAGGGGCTGCTGCAGCAGGATGTGTAGGGTGGTATTGTCTTAAGTTACCGGGCGGAAGGATCCTTGCTTGACTGGATACGCGTTGATATTCGCATCTGCGCGGTTCGTCTGGCAACGTCTGTGAAACAATCTCACAAGGGGGAAGTTGATCTGTATCTGTTTGTCAAGTTTTATGACGCCCTCAATGCCTTGTTCCTGTAAGCTAAAAGAAATCTTGGTGGTTGCCGGAGATCTAAATGCACATGTGGGCAGGCTTAGCGCATCTGTGACTCAATTAGGTGGCCGACATAGACTGGACTCGATAAGTACGGCCAATGATGAACGACTGCTGCAGCTGTGTGCTGACTGCAGGCTGCATTTATGCAGTACTGACTTCCGAAATGGCGGAAGTCGTCTGACCACATGTTCGCCAACGGTGTGCCCTCCACGAACTTACGGCGACCACATTGCCATCAGTTACCGATGGCTCGGATCAATAAGTGACTGCCGGTCGTTTTAGAACTCATTTTTGGATTCTGACCACGCATTCTTCCGTAGTCGCCACTCCCTTCCCGCCATGTAAGTTGCGGGTATGTCGCCTGGCAACTGGAAAGCCGGCAAATCCGGATGTTAGATGAACTTGTCGGATTCGCCTTCTAGGGTGTCTTCCAAATGCCCCGCCATCAGATGTGAATTCATACTGTGATGAGATCACCACCTCTTTCAACAGTTCTGGTGCTACTAGGCTCACTCAAGCACTGGCATTTCTTAAATCTCAAATATCCCAGCCGGGCCCGCTCGACCGGTCCCCGGGAACCTCCTGTGAGTGAAGCCATCGAGAATCAGAAGGGAGTGACCATCTTCTATAATGAACTTTTCGAATGTTGGGCCTAATAATTGAAACAACAGTTGTCGTGGCCACCAGCTGCCACCCATCTGGAGCCCACAGTTGACGTAGGACCCTGGATGGTGGACGTGGAACCCCCTACGGTCTCGCAGGTTTATGACTGCATATGTTCTCTCAAATGCCACCAACCTTTTAGCCCGGATGACCTCCCAATCGTATTGCTAAAAGATGGGG